TTAAGGGGTTAAAGGTTAAGTTTACGGGTTACCGGTACGTCCCGTCCCGTTGGTAAGGAACCCGACCGACCGTCCCCTTCCGTCCCACCGGTAGGTGACCCCCACCCCCCTGCTTCCCCCTGTCCAGGTGTGCAGGACCCCTCGCTCCTTATCTCAAGGCTGCTCATGCCCTAGGATCAGCTGGTACACTGATGCTTGTCCACTAAAACCCTGTCTGCCCTGGGCTGATGTGTGCAGCCCTCTGAGGAGTGGCTGCTGCTAGGGGGTGGGGCTGGGAGGGGTGGTCCCACTCTTGCCACTGCCCATTCTCTGGAAGGCTCTGAGTCAGGGAGGGGATTTAGGGGATGGGTCTGAGGAGCACCAGGTACACAGTCCTGTCTGGGACCGGTAGCCACGCCTTCTTGCCTGTGTCAGCTGCTGGACCCCACGAGGCTCCAGGAAGTGATAGGTGTGGCCAGGGACTCTTTAGGCAGAGGGAGGCCTGTGCGCATTGGTCTTTGTCTCTCTTCTCATATCTTCATCCCCAATTTCAGAGCCCTGCTTCCTGCCATGCTCACAGTGGGGGTTGGGGAGGCTCAGGGGACAGGCCAGGTAGTGATTCCTCTCCTCTGTTTGGCAGGAACTCAAAGTGAAAGGTCCCAAGGACTCCAAGGACAGCCACACGTCAGTCACTATGGAAGGTACTTTGGGGAAGGGTTGGATAACAGTCACCTTCCTTTGTCTGGCTTTGTGGAGCACAGTGCCCTGCTTGTGTGCACGGGCGCGTGTGTGAGTGTGTGTGAGCGCATGCACGCGAGAAATCCAGCCTCTGTCCCCAGGCAGCTGGCCAGCTACAAACGTGCTGCTCCTTAGGATGCCGGCAGGCGGCTCGCTCCCCTCCTCCCCCTCCCCCGCCCCACGCGCGCCGCCCTCCCCTCCCCTCCCCCTTGCTAGAGGAGCACTGAGAAGCGGCGGCGGCTTGATTCTGGAGGCTGAGCAGCAGCAGCCGGGAAGGTGGCTGAGTGGCCACGCTGCTGATGGGAACTGGGGAGTCGGGAGCGATGGCCACACGCTCCTGCCGCGGGGACCGAGGCTGCCATGGAAATTCTCCTCATCATTCGCTTCTGCTGTAACTGCACCTATGGTAACCCAGGCCCCTTCTCCCGGGAGGTGGTGTCTTCCCACCCCTGGGGCTGGCTGGAGTGGGCTGAGATGTGGCTGTCAAGGTTTAGAGGGCAGCAGGGAAGGGAGGGGGCACAAGTGGCTGGGCCTGTGTTCACCCCGTGCTGGCCAGCTTCGAGCCTGGAGTTGAAGTCTGGGGGCCACTCAGAGCAGGGTGGCTTAGAAATGGAAGGACTAGGCTGGAAGGGTCCAGGTACCTCCAAGGATCTGTGGGGAATTAGTGGCTTAGCTTAAGAGGCTGTGGGCAACTTCCTGGAGAGGCTGTTAAGGAGAGAAAGTGGCAAGGCTGGACCTGTTGGGATGGCAACCTGGGGGCTGGAGAGGGGTCAGCAGGGGCCGATCGAAGTGTGACGGATGGTCTGGCCAGCGGTGCCTTGGACTAGGAGGGTGCCAGCCCGGGCTGGAGGGAGAAGTTGGGAGTCTCTTTGTTTCCGGAGAGAGGAGAGGAGGTTGAGCAGCCAGGGTATTGTGTGCTCGGAGTGCACATGCTGCCTGCGCTCTCTCCTCTCTGAACAGCGGCAGTGGGAGAGCGTGGATAGGGTTGGGAGAGCAGGAAGGAATTGGATTGCTCTCCGGGGGTTCGTTTCTAGTCACTGGAGACCCTTGAGCTGAGGTCTTGGCACTTAGAGCAGAAGGTCGGCAGTGAATGCTGGTGGGAGAGGGGGGCGTGGCAGGCTGCTGCTTTGTGAAGGTCACACACCCACCATGTGTGCAATGCACGTACAATGCAGACGGTGCAGGTTAGGGGGCTGGCCAGTGCATCCTCTTTGCAGCTCCCTCAGGGAGGGGTCCTGGGACAGGCATGTGCTACCAGCCAGGCTCTTGCTGAGAAGAGGCTGATGCAGGCCTAGGCAGGGAGGTGTTTGGAAGCTGGGAGGCCCTGCCCTCTGAGACGAGAGGTACCTTAGGAATGACCCAGGCTGCCTTTCGCAGGGGCATAAGGACCAAGTGTTGCCTCCAGGCCAGCCTCTCTGGGCCCCTGTGGCAGGCAGCTGGATTCAGGACTTCTTCCCTCCCACCAGGTGTTTTGTCTCTGCCCCTTCTCAGTCACTTTGCTTCCACATCTCCGTGGTAACCTGGAGCTCCTTGCTGAAAGCTGCGCAGAGGGGGGCGGCAGCTTGCTAGAGGAGTGATGCGGAGGTTTCCCGGGCTCTTCCCAGAGACCGCTGTGCATGACCAGCTGCCCCACACCTTCACGGGCTGCGCTCATGAAGACCACTCTTGATGGAGAGAGCCCCTCTCTGGCTGTCCCAGCAGGACAGCTGTGGGAACTCTAGTCACTGGGCAGAAACTCAGATTCTGACAGGCTGGGGTCAGGAGGAGAGCTGGACTTGACTTATTCGAAGATCTGCCAGTTTCTTCTTCTGTGGGTCAATGCCCTTTCTGGTCTGGTCTAGGAGTTGGTCAAGACTCAACTCTGCCTCCCTAAAAAGGAAACAGTTAGCCCTTCACTTCCTCTTTCTTCTCCAAAAGGAAGCTTAGTTTTAGTGAAACAGACTTGTGACCTGGAGTCCAGGATTTCTTTGGTCCCTGCAGTGAAGTCAGCTTCAAAGTGAGGGATCAGGAACGAGTGAGCCCTTGCTGACCACACTGTTAAGAATCTTCTCAGCCCCTCCAAGGGGTGCTGGTTCTGGAGTCCCCGGGAGACTGCGCGACTTGGGGCTCACGCTGCGGTTTTCTGTCTTAATGGTTATATACTGAGTGCCCAGTCTTCAGGGCTCTGTGCCAAACGTGGTGGGGGTGCATAGGAAGTCGTGTGTGACCCAGGCCCCTGGGGAGGGGGCTCACCTAGGCAACAGGAGTAGCCAGCTCACCCACTTCATCCTGTGAAACTTTCCCAGGATCCTCCCAAAGGCCGCCAAGCTTTCGCAGGTGCTGCCCTCCCCTACAGAAGGGGGCAGCTCAAGTTAGGAGCATGGGTGGACCTACATTCAAAACCCAGCTGCCCCTTACAGCTTTGTGATTGTGAGCAAGTTATGTAACTTCTTTGTGCCTCAGAGAAGTTTCCTCATCTGTAAAATGGGGCTAGTGATCATTGCTTCCCTTTTCAATTAAAGGAAATAACGTATGTAAAACAGTGTCACTGGGCACGGAGTAAGTACTCAGCAAGCTAGAGATATGCCAGCTTGCCTGTGTCGGGGTTTGACTTTTAGGTACTGGGAGTGTCGCTTGCCCTGGTCGGGGAGGGCTTTCTGGAGGAGAGGGAAAGATGGGCATTGCAACTTGGTGAATGGGGTCTGTTCCAGAAATAGGAACCACACGGTGAGGAGCGGGGAGAGTGGGTGAAGCAGAGGCAGGGAGCAGGCCGGCCTGCCGGAGCCATGGAACAGGGGAAGGGCAAGGTGGGCTCTTCACCCTGCTGGCTCAGGGGCAGCAGGCACGCAGGTGCCCTGGGGAGCACGAACTTCAGGGCCTCTGCGGTTCCCTCCTTATCTGACTGTGGCCCTGGGGCCCTCTCCCTGCACTTGCCTCTCCCCACCCTTCCTCCCACCTGGTGCTGAGGCATTAGGACTCATTCCATGGCCACAGTCAAGTGGACTCTTGAGGTGACTATAGGCATATTAATAGCCCCTCTGAAACCCAACCTGCCATTTGTGCAGACCTCTGAGCTTAGTCAGAAACCTCTTCCTCCCAGGACTCGGCAGAGGGACAGAGGGAGCTGACACCACAGTATCAGCTTTCCCTGGGTGGGGACTCGAGGGCCCACCCTGGCAGGTGTCTGCTGAACTTGCACTTCTTCTTGGTCTCTGGTTTTCCCCTTGCAGATGGGCTGAGCCACAGGTGGGTACCCTAAACAGCCTCAGAACCGGCCCCCTCCTGGGCTGGTAACTGGGCTGTGACCTCACTGTGCCAGGAGACCCCAGGCCTGGTTCTGTCCACTCTAGCTTCCATAGCCCATGAGGAGGATCTCTAGAAATTGCTAAATTAACAAAGGGCTACAACTAAGTCATACGATGTGTATTTGCATAAAGGAGTGATTTTTCAACCATTGGACACGTCAGAATCAGCAAAGGAGCATTTTTAAAAATGCTGATGCCCAGGTTCTTCCCAGCAGAGCTTGCGGTTTAGTTGATGGGAGAGGGGGAAACAGGAATCTGTATCTTTGAAGAGCTCCCCAGTGATGCTAACAGGCAGCCAAGCAAAGCCTGCTGATGAGGCTTGGAGCACACCACTGAGATTGCATCTACTCCATAGCCAGCAGACTGTTCCCAAAAGTGTCCAGTTAGCAGTGTACAGCGGTATTTATATCTAGGGCTTTGGGGAACTCTAAGGTTTGGGGGCTGGCAGGGGCATGAGTGTCAGCTCTGGGACCTGTCACAACCTGGTCCTGTAGGATACCCACTCTAGGATCCTCCTCCTCAGACCAGCATCGTGCCTCTTCCTGCTCCCGTGGGAGGAGGACAGAGGTCATGACCCCATGGACAGAGGCGTCCAGGTGCAGAAATGAGGATGAACCACCCCTGCTGGGAGGGAAGGGCACAGCTGCTGGCAGGAGCTTTGTTGGAAAGTGTCAGTCCGTCAGCCAGCTGCCGCCTCCACCTGTCCCTGCTGAATCCTAGCAATCCTCATTTGGTGTCCTGGTCGCTGAGGGGTGTGGTTGAAGAGGACCCTGCCTGCTGAGCTTGCATTTTCCCAGCCTCTCCAGGGGCTGTCCTACCCAAAGCCCCACCTGAATTCCTTTAGGAAATCTTTGCCCCTCAGCTGCCACAAGCTGGAGAGCAGAGCCTTTCTGTGGAGATCAGCCATGCCTCCCTGGCCCTCAGCCTGTCCTGTTCTGACTCGGGGTTGAGGCCATGGAGAAGGGTCTTCCTCATGAAGATGAGGCAACTGTGTGGGTCAGATGAAACCTGCCATTTCCAGCCGGTGATGCCAGGCCTGGGGCCAGGGAGATATAAGAATGATCAGGTGTGGGGGAGCCGCCCTGCTTGGAGAAACAGTGTGTCTCCTTCCTGCATTCTGGGGTCCCAGGTGTGCTCCCAAGTGCACTGGAGCCCTTTGGGATAAGGCTTTGTGATTCAACATGGAGGGTACAGAGGAGCATCTTTGTCTGCTTTGAGCCTAGTCAGGTCAGGACAGGTGTGGGGGATGGATGGCCCTTGAATAAATCCCATCTGGTGGAGGGTGAGATGAGGAGGTGCGTGGGAGGGGATCTGGGCCCCCAGGGCTGTGTGTCCATCTTTTGGTGTTGTCTGGCCTGCCCCGAGATGAAAATGGAGATGTGACCTGCTGTGGAACCCACTTTGACCTCCTGGGAGTGGGCGTCCATGCAGGGGAGGGAGGCGGGTCGGGGGATAAGACTGGTCCCTAAGGTCTCAAGCTGCTCCCAGTATTTCATCTGTCCTGTCTCCTGACCCACCTCCTCCAACAGCTCTGCTCTACAAGCCCATTGACCGAGTCACCAGGAGCACCCTGGTCCTACACGTGAGTGTCTCCCTACTGAATGGCCAGGGGCAGGTTAGGAGTTGGGTGGGAGACAAGCCCAGGGTGGGCAGGTGCTGGAGTCACTGAGAACAGCCCATTGGGGAGTTGGACAGAGGGTCCCTGGGCCCTGACTGCACCTGCCTGGCCTGTGGTAACCATGCTGATGGGGCCAGGGCCTAAAAATAGCTTGGCTTCTAAGCTTGACTTTTGGCCAAATGCTCCCTGGGAGGCAGACACTTCCTGCCTCCCCATTCCTTGCCTGATGGCCTCCAGTGTCCTTGGAGCAGCTGTGGGGTGAGTAGGGGTGTATCTCTCCCAGCTGCTTGGGGAGATGAGACTCCATGTGGCCTGCGCCACTGGGGGGAAGAATAATGACTGCAGCAGGAATAAAGGGGTACCACTGCCTTCACCCCTGCTGCTCTGACCCTAAGTTTTTAGTTCAGATTTTGCAGGCAGGACCAGGTTAGAGTGTGGGTCCTTAGTACCCACTCAGAATTGTTTTGGTGAGGATTGAGCACTCCCCACTGTCTTCTTACTAAGCCCCAGAATTGCTCCCCCCAACTCATCTCCCCATCCTTCCCAGGACCTGCTGAAGCACACACCTGTGGACCACCCAGACTACCCGCTGCTACAAGATGCTCTCCGCATCTCTCAGAACTTCCTTTCCAGCATCAATGAGGACATTGACCCCCGCCGGACTGCGGTCACAACCCCCAAGGGGGAGGTGAGCTCAGGACCCAGCATAGCGTCACACCCGGGCTGACGAGGGTATGGGGGACCAGATCACTCATCCCTGCTCTCCTGCATGCACAGGCACCACTGCCCTATGCCCTACGGTTCTCCAACCCTGATCCCTCATTCCCAGCCAAGGAGAGGCCTTCAGGTCCTGGGCTGATAACTTTAAGTCCAGTGACCATTGATCTTCATTATAGTCCACTGAGGTAGGAGAGGAAACTGAGGCCTGGAGAGTCTCTCCAGGTCTCTTGGCCATAAGTGTCAGAACTGGATTCTTTAGCTGGGGTTATCTGTCTGCAAGCCTCATGCGCTGACCCCCACACCAGGGCTCTGGCTATCTTGAATGCCAACACCCTGCTCTGAGCAGTATGATGTCCTCAGGGTCCCCTGGAAGATAATGGCTCAGGTTGAGGGAGCTTGGGGAGCCTGAGGAAGAGGTGGCTGGACTGTCCCAAGTGAGCACCTAGATGTGATGCAGCAGCTACAGTTCCCTGGGGGCCCTTTTTGGTGGAAGGGTGGGGGTACCTCAGTGAGGGGAAGCAATATGAAGAACCAGAGGCATAGTTACTGGCTCGGGTCAGCAGCCTGGCCCCCACGCAGGGCTTCCTGTTCAGGAGAGGTAATTAAGTAGCGTTTAGGAGTGAAGGCTGGCTGAGTTCATGCTCCTTTGTTACATTTATGAGCCTCCAGCGTCTCCTAGGGGAAGGGAGTAATGAGGGACAGGTTCTAGAGAGTGATTAATGGGGCATACAGAGCTGTCCCTGTGTGCAGCTCCCAGCCCTGGTTTGCAAACCCTAGAGTGTCACTAGTTTGTTTGACTCTGGGAACATCTGAAAGATCTTCAGAGGCCCTAGAGTGCAGTCAGTTTCGGATCATGTTAAGTGTATACGTTCTGCATACTCACCTACATGTTGCAGCATATGTAGGTCACATGGCACAGAATACAGGGAAGCCTGGGACGGACTGAGACAGCCCTGGAGAAGCCCGCGGGCCCTGAGGGTGGCAGGGAGGAGGCTCTGGAAGTCCTGTGTGGAGCAGAATGCTCTTCACCAGCCAGAGCCCAGGTGAGAGACAGCTGCAGATTCCCCAGGACACTGGGACGGCCCACAGAGGGAAGCCCAGGGCCTCCCATCTGCCTGGAGGTGGTTGAGGGATCCCCTTAGAGGCAGTGTAAACAGGCCTGAGTGGGTCTGCAGGTCGAGTTTGTACTGAAACCAGATCAACTTCTTAGGCAGGGTTGGGGGGGTTTCTGGATGGCAGTGGGCGGGGGTATTCATACCCAGGGTGGGTCCATCCCCGTGTGAGCTGTTGAGAGCTGCAGGGAAGTGCTACCACTTGTTGATCACATATTACATACCAGGCACTGTGCTGTTTTACATACACCATCTTGAGGACTCCTACTTTATGGGGCAAATATCATTATCCATTTTACAGATGCTAAGAGTGAGACTCAGAGAAGTCAGGGAACTTGCCCCCCAGAGCACAGCCAGGAAGTGGCAGAGTCTGGATTCCAGCCCCAGTGCATGACCCCAAAGCCAGTGCGCTTAACCACCATGCACTGGGGCCCCTTCCTGGAGCCCCCACCTCTGCCCCAGCTGGACCGGTGCAGGCCGGGCCATGGGCTGTTGCACCTTGAGCAGGCAGGGTGGATGTGCCATCTCCCTCAGACACGGCAGCTGGTGAAGGACGGCTTCCTGGTGGAAGTGTCAGAGAGCTCCCGGAAGCTGCGGCACGTCTTCCTCTTCACAGACGTCCTACTGTGTGCCAAGCTGAAGAAGACCTCAGCGGGGTGAGTGTGTGCAAGTCCAGGGGTACATGATGGGGAGGGGGGACTAAACCCTGCCCCCTGTGGAGCCTCTCAGCAACCTGGGGCCATCTACATTTTTTCCCTTTTTAAAAAACATATTAATTAAATTTTATTTTACTTCATAGCCTCTTTCTAAAAATAAATCATGGTTTTAATTATGAAGATAATACAACCAAATTACAAAAAAAAACCATCACTCACCCGAACATAAGCATCAGTCTCCTGCTGCTATATTTCCTTCCAGTTTTTTTAAATGTTCTTATGTTTTTTCATATACTTGTAATCAGAGTGAATACCCAATTTGGGGCTCTGCTTTTTCCATTTCATGTCATAAGCATTTTCCCTGTTGCTGTCTAATCTTCATAATCATCATTTTACTTTCCTGCATGATGTTACAAGTGGATACGCCATAATTTACTTAAGCATTCTCCTTTTATTAGACATCTCTCAATTTTTGCTAACTGCAACTGAGTGAATATTCATTAAATCTGCTGCTACCATTTATTGAGTGCTTATGCCATGCCAGGTGCCATGACAAATGCTTGGAATATATTATTTCTAATCTCCCCAGTGACTCCACAAAGTAGATATTATCCCCATCTCACAGATGAGAGAAAAGGCTTAGAAAAATTAAATAAATTGCCCAAGGTCGCCAAACTGGAAGTGTAGGAGATGAGATTTGAACCTTCATCTGACTCAAAAGCTTCTACTCCATCTCCAAACCCAGTGATAGGGGTCTCTTTGTGTCATAAGCAAGAAAGGTTATTCAGTATTAATTCCTGCATTCTTCCACCTATATTTCCTTATCACCTACTGTTTGCCAGGGGAGGCAAGCTGTATGCTCAGTGCTGCAGGAAGGTGCACACCAAAGTCCTGGGGGAGTGACAGAAGGAGGGATTGTTATGAGTTTCCATAGAGAGGATGACTCCCTGGAACTTCATGAGATTTGAGAGGATTCTAAAGCAGAGGTGGCAGTCATAAGGATATATTACTACTGCCTTAAGTCCTTTGCCCATGGCAGACATTATTAATCGACCATGGCACTATTTCCCATTAAACTTGGATATGGCTTTATAATCCTCAACTCAGGACCCCATGACCTTTATTGATAAGAGTTGGCATTCAAAATAACATCTGTATTCTAGCTCTAGCCCAAAGGATAATGAATATGAACTAAGTGTAGATAGGCTAGAAGGGAGGGGAGAGTGTGGGGTGGGGAATAGGGAAGCATGAGACCCCTCTTGCTCATACCCTAGAGGTTTGGGCTGTTTAAGAACATCAGTCGTCCTGGGCCAGAAGACCGGCAGGCCCAAGGTACAGAGCCCTTACTGCTGCCTGACCCTAGAACCTGACTATCATTGTTCCACATGCATTTCCTGATTTGGACTTCTCAAGCTTGGAGATCATTCTTGCCTGTGACAAGTTCTCAGTAAATCCCCCTCAGGTGGTTTTTGGCTCCAGCAATTCAGGCCTGAAGATCCAAGTTCCCCTCTGGCTCACCTCTCTCTCCGACTTGTTTGCAGGAAGCACCAGCAATATGACTGCAAGTGGTACATCCCCTTGGCTGACCTAGTGTTTCCATCTCCTGAGGAGTCTGAGGCCAGCCCCCAGGTGCACCCCTTCCCAGACCACGAGCTGGAGGACATGAAAATGAAGATCTCTGCCCTTAAGAGTGAAATTCAGAAGGAGGTGAGCAGAGCCTGGCATTAGCTGAGACAGGGAAATTGGCTGTTTTTCTGGGGAGCCCTTTGAACTGGGTGTGCCAGGGAGGTGGAGGGAGGGGAAGTTGTAATGTTTGGGAGTCTGACAAGGAAGGCAGGATTCAAGAATGGGAGGCCTCTCTTTATAACCCTCAAGATACATCTGTGCACCCAGGGAAAGACTCTGTCCATGGAGATTAGTACTGAACAGATGAGGGGCAAGCCAAGGAGTCAGTCAGTGCTCAGAATTTAGTGGGGTTAATTATGGGAAGTTTTCTGGAGAACAGTGTATATCAAACACTGTAGAAAAGAAAAAAGCAAGAGAAGAAAAAGTCCCTCTTAAGGAGAAACAGGATGTATGCAAGAGGAAGGACCTGGAAGTCCTCTCAGAAATGTGCAGATCAACTAGGCAAATAAATACACAGAGGCTTTGAATGTCAGTTGATCTAAAAACACACAGAAGCTTGTGTCCTGACAAAGAAATGAGACTCTTGTCTAATACACATGGATGGGCGAGAAGGAGAGACCAGGCCAACAAACCAGTTGGCCAACAAACCAAATATACATAGAACAGTCACATTTATCATATATTAGGCTGCATTGGAAATCTCAAATTAAAAAAAAAAATCAGTAGCATACTGTCATGTACAGTAAAATTAGGATCAGTAACTCAGCGGTAGTTCATTATATGCCTGGGAAGTTAAAACGTTCAAGGTAGAGAGGAAATCAAAATGGAAACTGCAAACTGTGTAGAACTTCATGAAAAGGAGAGCACTGCATAGCAAAACCTAAGAGATGCAGCCAAAGTGCTCTTCAGAGGAAAATGTATAGCCTTAAATTCATATATTTGAAAACAGTGGCTAGAGGAAAGCACCCCAGGAGGAGCTGTCTCCATGAGTGGGAGGAAGGGCATGGAGGGGCTTGGTTTGTTGGCCTGGTCTCTCCTTCTCACCCATCCAGGCTCGGTTTAGGCTTCACCTCCCCTGGTGAGCCTTCCCTGATGTCTGCCCATTATAGTCTGGGTTGGGCGCCTGGCTTCCTGGTTCCTGATAGTTACCTCTGTGCTTCAGTTTATTGGTACTGAATTATAATTGCACAAGCAACCTTTTCTTTTCCTCACTAGAATTTCAACTCTAATAAGGGGGCTGTTTTCTTCACTTCTATGCCTCAGTACTTAGCACATAGTACACAGGTGCTTTGTGAACGATTGTTGAGGAATATATGAACAGATGGCCTCTAAGGATACTTTCAACTCAGACATCTCTCATTGAACAGAGGAAGACCACAGTAATCACCCCAGGGATGTTTGCAGCAGGGGAATGTCCTAGGACTGAGGGTCTGACTGGGGCAGGGGTTGGGGGGGGGCACCCTGCCCAGCACAGGTGTCCTCCTCCTGAACGGCCAGGCCCCACCCTGCCTCATTTGAGCCTGTTTCCCCATCTAGCTCTGCCCACCACCCCCACCTCAGGGGCATCCTGCATTCATGTTTCTCACCCAGTCCTGGGAGCGGTGGGCTTCGGGCCCTTCCTCCTGCCCCAGGTGTGCAGACGTGGCCTTCTGCTTAGCTGAAGCCATGCTTACTGACCTCCGCTGGCCGCTGGCTCCAGGGATGTGCCAGACGCCTTATAGACCTCCTTGTCCAAGGGAGAAGGCAGACAGTCCCGTGTGTGACCACAGCACATGACACAACATGACAGGAGTCACTGGAGAAGGCACAGTGTTGTTCTCTGAGTCACTGAAGAAGCAGCAATTTATTCTTTGAATGATATTATTTAACATAATTTGTTTCTAATCATCAGTGTAACACTGGCTTTTTATAACAAGAAATGCTCACAATACCAAAATGTATAGAGTAAAACTGATCATCAGACTCCCTGTTGTTACCAGTTTGAGGTGTATTCTTCTAGACTCTTCCATGCTTATGCTAGTGTGTGTATATGTATTTTTTCATGTGTATGTGTGTATTTTTTTAATGAGACTAGACTACACATGTTGTTTTGCAGTTTAATCTAGCAGATCCTTTTGAGCAGCAACATCCTGTTCTGTTGCTTGACTGCACAACAGTGTATTTGAGTGTTTAGATTGTTTCTTCAATCTGCACTCATATTTCTCTCCAGTAGATTCCCTACAAGTGGGATGTCTGGGGCAGAGGGTTTGTGCATTTCATTGCCAGATGCACCTCTGAAAGGTTTACATCCGATCACGTTCCCCCTGGTAGTGTGTCACAGTCACTGCTCCCCCACACTGTCACAGCACCGGCTGTGAGCAATTGTTACAATTTTGCCAGTCTTGTGGGTAAAAAAAATGCTGCAGGGACGAATTCTAACTGTGGAGCTTGAGGATGGCTTTGGAACTGAGACATGAAGCATAATTGTGGTTAATGAAAGGGAAGGGATCCTTTATAAAATATAAACTTGAAAAACTGGAGGAGAAAGGGACACCGGCCAAGAGGGAATGGCTTGTCAGAGAACAGGGAATAATAATGCCATGAGGCTGAGATGGAGGGTGCGGAGCTGCCTGGCGGGATACCCGGCTGGGCATGGCCCTGTGTCCCAGGCCAGGAGTGGGGGCTTTGTGCTGAAATGTGTCTGCAGTTTTTCAGCCAGATGTCTCTTAATTTAATTTATGGAGATGACTGAGTGCCAACCCGGAGAGGCTGATGCCACTGGGAGATTTTTTATTACTTACAGTTTCCAAGAGAAGGGGGCACGCCACGCCAAGCAGAGCCTCTAGGGAAAGTGCCGGGTTTGGTTAAGAGGCAGAAGGAGCGTGGAGGATGCATGACCCAGAGCCTGGATTGTGTTTTCCATGGGAAAGAAAGGCAGGGCAAGGAAGGCTAGTTTGAATAAGTCAGCAGGACTAGAGTGATGATGTCTAGTTGCCCTGGGTTATTTAGGGCAGAGGAAATATGGGCTTGGTGTAGTTAACGGTGATGGTAGTGTTGGTTTGCACATGAAAGGTGCACGCACAGGGGAGTCATTTACTAGCTTAGGAATTAGCATGTCCTGGGAGGGGCCGCTTTCTCCACGGCCAGCTAGGACCCCCAGGGTATTAAATTATCATGAAATATAGGGAAAAAATGATGACTATACAGAGGACTATTGTACATAGAGCTCCTGGGTGAGAGGTGGAGTCTGAGTGTGAGGAGAACGATCTGTGCCCTCTGTCCCCTGCAGAAAGCCAACAAAGGTCAGAGCCGGGCAATCGAGCGCCTGAAAAAGAAGATGTTTGAGAATGAGTTCTTGCTGCTGCTCAATTCCCCCACAATCCCATTTCGGATCCACAATCGGAATGGAAAGGTCAGGAAGGATGGGGATGGGACAGAGACAGCCCCCTGTCTCAGTCCAGGGCTGCCCACTCTCTATGGCTCCTGGCCCTGACCTGGGGGAATCAGGGACTCAAGCCCCCAGTTCCTGAGGAGGCTGCCATGGTTCCCGCCCTGGGCTCTTTCTCCCTGCTTGCTGCTGTGGAGCCAGTGCCCTCTGCTGGCCATCACTGGCACGGCCACTCCCGTCACTAAGCTTCCTAGGAAGGCCTTTATCCCGGCCACCTTCTTCTCCAATCCTAGGGGTACCTGGGCTAGGAGCTTTGTTGGGGGCCCCAAAATCCAAAAATGTGCTTGGCCTGACTATGTTCATCTCACTGAGCTCCCCTCTCCTCTCTTCAGAGCTACCTGTTCCTATTGTCCTCAGACTATGAGAGGTCAGAGTGGAGAGAAGCAATTCAGAAACTCCAGAAGAAAGGTAAAGTCCTGCCCTGACTCTACACTGCCCTGATGCTATCCAGGGCAGCAATGGGCCTTTTGCATTTTCATGCCCAGTGTCTCGTCTTTAGCCCTCCCAGTAGTGCCAGGGCAGATGGCACTTAATGGATGTTACTGAGCAACTGAGGCCCAAAGAATTTAAGTGAGTCGCTGAAGGTGTACAATGAATTAGCAATAGGACTGGACCCAGAGCCTGTCTCTTTCTCTCGCCATCTCACACACACATTCATGAACCCCTCTAGTTAGACTCTCTCGTTCTTACCCCTCCCGCAGCACCAGGACCATCCCCAGGTGAGCATCTACTTTCCCTCCCTTCCAATCACCAACTCAGCCCCCAGAGCTAAGCTTTTTTTCCTGCAGTAGGTCCCAGTGGACCTGTGGCGACGTTCCCCTCTCTCTTGGCTCCTCCTGCAGATCTCCAGGCCTTTGTCCTGAGCTCAGTGGAGCTCCAGGTGCTCACGGGATCCTGTTTCAAACTTAGGACTGTACACAACATTCCTGTCACCAGCAATAAAGACGGTAAGATCTGGAGCAAAGGTTACTCAATCAACAGGCCTGAGCCCCCGGGGCGTTGCTGGGGCCTTCCACAAAGACCTCGCCAGACACTTGGCCGCAAATGGCTGATCTCTGCTCAGCTGGGCTGGGAAGACTCAGTTGGCAGGTACACAGACAGCTTGAATAAGGGTTGTTCTCTGCTGAGTCCCTGGATGGCCCCAGCTCCTCTCTGGCCACCTCTGGCTTGAGAGAAGAATCTGGCACCCTGGTGCACTGGGATCATGGTATTAATGAAGTAGTCAGTTCATGGAAGCAGAAGACTGAGGCTCAGGGCAGGATGGTGGTGGGGCCAGGGTGGGAGGAGGGTAGGTGGATTAGAGTAATGTATGAGAAATAAGACTGGAAGTTTCCAGGATTCAGATCTTAGAAGGCCTTGAATGCCAAGCAAGGAAGTATGTTGTTCAAACCCAGAAGCCTATGGGAGGTTCTTGAGCAGGGGAGGGCTGTGATGGGGGGGGGGGAGCTGGCCTGGAGTGGCTGTCATGGGTGCTGGGAAGGGGCACACTCTATGGAAAGGGGATTTTGAAGGCAAGCTCCTCTGCCGTTGGGGGTCATCTGCCTCCCATTTCCCAAAGAGGAGGCAGAGCTGGACCTTATCTTCATTTGGCAGAGTGACTGACTTACACAGATGTTGTTTCACTTTGAAAGGCTAGACTGAATAGGGCAGCCATGAGATAGGCATGATTCAGAGTGGGAGGGAAAGTGCCCCCAGGAATGGGTTGAAATCCCTGGCCCAGGAGGAAGGTGTGGGCTGGCTGCCCAGGCTGAGTGGAGGGAGAAGGGGGCACCAGCTCCCATTTTTAGGAAGCAGTGCACTCAGAAAATTTCTTCATCTGGGCACCAGGTGGTGCTGTCGAACCAAGGCTCAGACTGTCTCACACCCTGTCCGGCCAGCCTGGGGTGAGGGGGGAAGAAACAGGTCTCTCATCACCCCCCTCCCTGGGGGCTTTTCTCTCTTCAGACGACGAGTCTCCAGGACTCTATGGCTTCCTCCACGTCATTGTCCACTCTGCCAAGGGGTTTAAGCAGTCAGCCAGTAAGTGCCCTATGGACCTATTTCATGTGGCCTCCCACTGCGGCTCTGCTGTGGTCTGCTCAGGCTGGGGCCCTGACAGTTGCTTTGAGATGTGGGGTGTTTCCGACAAAGGCCAGAATTGTCCCTGCCCTTTGTCTCCAAGGTCTGTTCTTCCCCAAATCCTCCGCCACCCCCAGGGGTCTGGAATACTAGGTTCCAATCCCACATCTGCCGATTGTATGCTTTGTGACCTTGGGGAAGTCTCTTAACCTCTCTGAGCCTCAGCTTTTTTCTCCATAAAAGGCAATCACACTTGTTACTACTGACCTAAGAGCAGGCTTAAACATGACCGTGTATGTGCAGTGCCAGCTCACTCAAACACACATTTCTTTTTCTCCCTTCTTTATCATGACCTATGAAATCTGTGCAGTTTCTAGTATTTCACAAGATACAGTTACATTTTTATCTAATTTTTCTCCCTGTAGGAATTTGTGAATCAGTTAGACAGCTAATAGTTTCTCCCCATTTGCCAGATGAGAAAACTAAGTCTCAGAGAGATTAGAAGGACTTAACATCACACAGGATCAGAAACCCAGGGGTCCTGACTCCTCTCAGCCTGCCCCTTCCCACTCCCTTCTCTTCCTCCCTGGCGGGTGAGAGCCACCTTTGCCTCTCTCCCTGCAGTGCACCATGCAGAGGTCATGCTACTGGCCCACAAGCAGTCATTCAGTAAACCTTTACTAAGAAGCCTGGGTTCCTGCGGTAAATCGGCCTCCCTTCTCTGTGCTCCCATCACCCCAGGGCAAACCATGGTTACAGCACCTGTCATACTGTTTTGTCCCTTAAAATCAGTATGAATTCTTAGAGGGCAGAAACCAGGTCTCCTTTACCCTTGAACAAACAGGAATTCAGACATGCTGAATGAAGTAGTTTATTTCCAGACACCTACTGCATGCCTGGGCCCCTTACTAGGTGTTGGCGAGAATGCAAATGTGGCCAGCGAGTGGACAGTGCCTGTTCAAAGCCTGTTTAGGTGTGTTATCTGCTCTGATTCTCCTGGCATCCCTCCAAGGTCACTGACACCATTTCCCTTTGACGTACAAGGAAGCTGAGGCGAAGAGGGCTCCAGGGGCTTGCTCAGGGTCACCCGGCAAGTCACACAGGTAGTGGAGTCGAATCCATGTCTTCTGACACCAAAGCCCACGCTTTCCCCTCAGTGGGAAGCTTTTTCTCAGTAGGGCCAGGACCACCACGCTCGTCCCTCGGGCTGTACACATGACAGCTTCCTGGACCCTCCCAGACCCACAGAACCCCCTGGGGTGGGGGTGAGGGAGCTTCCCAGGAACATTCATGGTCAGTCAGCCCCACGGGGCTGTCACACATCCCCCAGTCCGCAGCCCACGGAGCTGGACCAGGCGCCTCCCCTCTCCACATGCCCAGATGTCTCAACCCCCGCTCTCTCTGCATCCTGTCGGCTGGAATGGGCCTCAGGGAGCAGACCCATTGGGGTGGGGCACCCCACTCCTCCAGAGCAGATGTTCCACCTCTTAAACCAGGTTGAGCAGTCAGATATGGGGTGAGCTGCTGGAGTCTCCCCTCACCTCCAATCAGTCCTCCATCTCCCTCCACCAGCCCCCTGACCGCGCAGGCACTCATTCGGACATGGGGGTCAGGCCTCGTGTATCTTCAGCCATGGCTGCTTTCCTAGTGAGCTCATTCTACCTGCACAGTCAGGCCTAGGGTGAGGCACCGTTCCCATTCCTGATTCATGGATGAAGCGCTCAGGCACAGAGGGTAGGTGGTTTGTGCAGAGCCAAAATCTGACCAGACAGTCTGACTCCAGAGCCCTTTCTCTTTTCCCGTGAACTGTCCCCAACCCCTGATAGAAGGTTCACTCCACTGCAGAGTCAGTTCATGGTGACAGCACTTCTGCCTCTCCATCTCAGCCCCCCACACACACTCTTTGGTCTGACGGAGGCCGGGGTGCATTGGGCCTTCTGCAGTGCCCCCCTGCACCCACATCGCAGTGTGCTCTGATACCTGGTTATAGCTGGTCTCCATCACACCCAGGTAGAGACAGCTTAGGGACACGCTACCCACTCTGCCTCCTGCAGGAAAGCCCTTCTGACGGAGAACAGCCCAGCTGGGCAACCCTGGGGCCTGGGAGGGTCACCTACATCCACCCTCTGACCTCTGCCCCTTACTCCTGAGTCACACTGCAGAGGATTGGCTGTGGTCCCCCAAAACCGCCCCCTAAACACACCATTACCGTGGGAAACAACCTTGGCAGCGCCAGTGGAGGGGGAGGCTGCCAGGGTCTGAGCCCTGGAGGGCTGTGTGGATTTGCAGAGCACCTGGGGTAACCACCAGTGCTGTGGCCTCGTCAGTTGGATCTCGGGGTGGAGGGGGCAAGATATTTAGCCTTAAAGGCCATGGTTCTAGATGGAAATGCCAGGGAAGGCTCCCCCCGCACCCCCGTCCCAGCCCTCTACCACTTTGTTACCTGAAGCACTTGGGGGAGGTTAGAGCACCATTCATTCACCCACCAGTGTTTGCCATGTACCTACTATGTGCGAGCCCAGTTCTTGGTGCCAAGGGTACACCGGTGGCTGGGAAAACAAGGCGTCTGCCTGTGTAGTGTTGATGCAGTGGAGGGAAGGGAGACCGAAAACACATGGTCAGAAAAGACAACTTCAGTTAAAGTTAAGCACTATGAAGAAAACAGCAAACAGCCTTTGGAGTGTGGGGGACATTTTTGGTTGTCACAGTGACTGAGGTCACTCCAGGTTTTCAGTACCCAGAGGCCAGGTGCCCTCCAGGGACACCCCTGTTGAGGAACCTGGGATTCGAAGGGCGGAGGGGAGGGGAGGGGAGGGGAGGGGTGGCTCCTGTAGTCTGTCGTTGGTGAAGACCTTGGCATGAGGCCTCAGTGGTGAGGAGTCACTAAGCCAAGATCTGGCAAGAAGGTACTGCAGGGACCCTAAGGTGGTAGCAGCTGACACGTTGGCAGGAGGGGACCATCGTGGCTGGCGGGGGGTGGTGCCGGTGCATGAGGTGGGGTCAGCGGGGAGGGCGGAGAAGTGGGAAGGGGCCGGAACACACCAGGCTGCGGGCAGGAAGGCACCAGGCCCCACCCCAGGAGGACAAGGGGTGCTGATGCATTATCCCCCTCCCTCACCCACGGGTTCCTGCGCCTCGGGCCTCACTGGGTGTGTCTCTGCCTATCCCCCCTCTGCCACAGACCTGTACTGTACCCTGGAGGTGGATTCGTTTGGCTACTTTGTCAGCAAAGCCAAAACCAGGGTGTTCCGCGACACGACAGAGCCCAAATGGGATGAGGTGAGTGGAGGGGCTGGTGTCCGTCCCCGCAGGGGACCCCTGAGCTTGTCCCCGACCGTGCCCATCCCACTCCCAGTGCTCATGTCCGGTTGGCTGGGGGCGTTCATGCCTGCTGTTGGACCACCCCCATCCCTCTGACTCCCCTGCCCTCTCCTCCCTGCTCATCTGGCTTCTAACCTCGTGTTTGTGTCTAGACACAACGGGGTTTCAGCTCAGGCCCCAAACTCCACTTCAGCGGAGGTTTGGAGGCCTCTGGAGCCCCAGGAACTGAAGAAGCTGCCTAGTGCCTCATGCTGTGGTCCTCACGGGCCCTCTGCACCCCCTCTCACCCTTGCCGAGGTGGGGCCCACCTGTGGCCAGGAAGCCAGGTCAGCTTCGGAGGTTCAGGACCCTACCCCATGTTTCCCCAGGAGTTTGAGATTGAGCTGGAGGGCTCTCAGTCCCTGAGGATCCTGTGCTACGAGAAGTGCTATGACAAGACCAAGGTCAACAAGGACAACAACGAGATTGTGGACAAGATCATGGGCAAAGGGCAGATCCAGGTGAGG